GCGAAATTGGCTTCGGAGTTATGTAGTAGGTCGCACCTTCCAAGTCCGGGCAAACGTCAAATCTTCTGAGAAAGGCCAAGTGCAAAGCGGAGTGAATCAGGGCACAGTCCTTGGACCATTTTTGTTCTTCGTCTTCATCAACAACTTGGCACGGTGTGTAGTGAACCCACTGTTCTTATTTGCCGATGATGCCAAAATTTTAGCTTCTCCCGACAACGAAGAGATGCAAAGCGACCTGGACAGAGTACAAGCATGGACCACAGAATGGAGCCTGCCTCTGAACAGTGGCAAGTGCAAACTCCTCGGCACGGGAGAGTCGGTGGGTAATGTACGTCAACCAATTCGCACTTGAGTGACGCGTAGCCGAACCCAAACGAATTCCGAATTAAAAACACAATTGATCCGCAATGTTCTACGGTACTGAATTAACGAAATTATTACAATGTGTACAATAAAGCAAACCTCAAATATGCGGCCAAAAGCCTTCAAACAAGCGAGCCAAATAAGATGTCCAGAGAGAGGCAAACAGTCGCTCCCGTTCTCAAACCACGCAAAATTCAAATGTGCCGGGCATAGAGTTAACAGATAAATAATGATGTGTGGTGTTCATGATCGTGAAAGGTCAATATAAGAGCAACACACAGATAAAGTCATTGCACCATAAATGATTATGGGTTCGGAAGGATTTTCAAAAAATTCAGTATGAAATACAGGTAATCCTCGTTACCCGGGGGAATCGTCGAGCTCAGCACTGAGGTAAGGGATCTAGAGATTAACGTAAATTCCACATTCTCATCCTCACGCCAGTGATCCCTAGCTGCTTACAGAGCAAATGCAGCACTGTACAGGCTGCGCAGAATGGTATCCTCTAGAGACCCAGAGGTCCTCGTCCCCTTGGACCATACTTTTGTACGGCCCCATTTAGAGTAATGTGGTCCAAGCGTGGGCACCAGTGTTAGTGCGTGACACACTGGTCCTGGAGAATGTGCAACGCCGTTTTACACGGATGTTCCCTCTCCTTAGGAGACTAACACGCTGAAAGGCTGCGAGCACTGGGTCTGTTCTCCCTGGAGCGTCGTAGGCTTGGAGGCGATCTAACTGAAACCTTCAGAATCCTCAAGGGTTATTCGCAAGGTACGAGACATTTCTTTGAGCTAGATGAGGACCAGACAAGGCGTGGTCACAGCCTCAAACTGAAAAAAACAAAGGGTATACATAGCGATCAGGGCCAGCTGCTTCTCGCTGCGTATCATTAACAGCTGGAACAAGCTGACAAACGAGATAGTCAACTGTGGCAGCGTGCACGCCCTGAGGAGGATGCTCCATGCATCTTGGGACACTGAATGTCCCTAGAAACACCATCAAATGGGTCACGCTAGCAGCCGTGCATGCTGCCCCCTTGCAAGTTATCTTTACTCTTCATTTAATCTCATTTCCCCTTCTACATCCCAATTTCTTAGGACAAGTAACCTTCCGTTCTCACGGTCCTTTTCTTTTATGGGTCACCTGAGTGGGAGGGATGTAAGGTGTCGCATTGTCCCTGAAACTATATCTGATATCGTTCGGGTAATCATGGACCCGTCAGCATTGTAATCCTTTTGCATGTCTAGCCTTGGAAACATTTGGAAAGCAAAGACTGCCAAAGTACCGTGTTGCCCACCTTGAGCTCACCTGATGCAAGAAACTGGACTCCATCTGGCTTTGCCGTAAGTCCTGTGTCCTGTCCTGTCCTGTGGCATTACGTAGACGCTCTTTGAAATTGGCAAAAAAGCGTTCCAGATTGGAAGTTCGAGCACAGTTTCTAACAAACCGTGCGGTGAGCAGATGGAACAAACTCCCAGAGACAGTGATTACAGCAACAAATGTGATAAGCTTCGAGCACAAACTGCATGAATGCTAGTTAATTGTATTCCCTGATTTGGAGTGATTCGTGAAAGGTAAACCATAGCTCAACCTGAGAGGCCCCATGTGAAAGTTACTCTTATATCTTGTTTAGTTTTCCTTTTCCCTATCGTCTTTCTAGTATGTTACCAATAACTCTTATTTTCTTTCTTTTATGAAATAAAACACCTGCGTTCTATTAATCTTGAGTTACACCTCATACTTACCCGCCGGTAGAGCGTGCCTGGCTTGAATTTCTCGCATAGAAACCGGTTCCGGAGATAACCGTTTGTTGACTGGAGCCTACTGATATTACCGATTGAACATCCTATTTCCCATCCTATTTCTGATCTGTATTAATGATCTCCCTTAACATCCATTACAGAGATTGCCATGTACGCGGATGATGTCACCGTCTGGGGCACAGACGCATCCCAAGTGCAGTCGGCGATTGACCAAACAAAATATTGGTCAGTCGACTGGAGCTTACCAATCAATGACGAAAAATGTGCAAGCATGAACTTTGGTAACGCCCCTGGTCAACCTTTCTGGGTAAACGGTTCAACCCGTATCCAACTGGTGGATGAGCACAAAATCCTTGGTTTCTGGCTGAATAGCAACCTCTCCTTTTCTTCCCATAACCAAAAGGCCAGTAAAACCGGCTTTCGCATTCTTAACCTTATCAAACGATCTTTACCGCGTATAAGCAAAGAGGACTTCCCTTTCCTCTATGGAACATACATACGCCCAATGTTAGAATATGGCAGCCAAATTGCACATTCTGGCCTCATTCGAGACCGCGATTCACTAGAGCGTGTGCAGCGAAAGGGCCACCAAACTAGTACATTCCAATAGGGAAAGGGACTTCAGCAATCAGGAATGGCCACTCATTTGCCTTAGATAGGTTAAAATCTACTGTAAGGTTCCTGGTACCAAATGTATGAATTGTGGAACCATTGGCCGCAGTCAAGGTGAAAGCTTGAGCTGGAAGCCTGGCTTCAGTGGAGGAAGGAGGAATGACGCTCACTTCCGCATCGGTTTCTACTAAGAAATACACGCCACTAATGGAGTCCCTAATGTGAAAAAGGCGTCTCCTAGTTCGTGTGCCAACGGTTGACGCCGTAATCATTCGTCGGCCTAGTCTTTTCCCGAGACGGGCTGACCTTTTCACGCGCACGGGTGGATGCATTTGGCGGCATCCTTACCAAAGCGTGCGTGATACCAACAATATTTTTGACTATTGTTGGGCGACTTGGACCTACGGCGAGCGCCGGATCCAGGCTTTCCACCGAACCGTGCACCTCTCGATTGCCTATCCTGGCTAAAGTTGTTTAGCTTTTCTATGACAGCCTGGAGAAAACCTTCGACAGAAGTGGCTGGATGGATGGTAGGGGTAACTACTGCGACAGAGGGTTGACGGCATTGCATGGCATGATCTGCCATTACCGTCAAACGCTCTATGGGTATGTACGCGTCGGATTCGCTCTTTGTTAGAGCTCCCAGTGCGTTCTAATATTGCGTCCCGTAGGACTTCAAACGGCCTTTCTTCGGGAGGTTCTAAAACTATATCTAAAACCTCGGCCACCAGGTGCTCGGGCAAAGAGGAAACCGCGTGGTGGAACTTAGTCTTTGAAGACTTAATATTCCTAGTGGCACACTGTGATTCCAAAACGGCGAACCACGCCCTAGGGTTGGATGCCCAAAATGGAGGGGGTTGGAAGGGGGCGGTCACCATGGGAGCGGGTTCGTCGGATAAATCTAATAAATCCATGACGAAAATGATAACAATGAAGAATTGTATGTGATATGAAATTCCCTCGAACAAAAAAACAGCTCTAGCAAAATTGAAGAATTAAAACAGCGATAACGGTAAATAGAAAATACCAAAAGTTAATCGCTAAAAATTTCTAAGCGAATATAAATTGGTTCAAAAATTCCAATGATATGAAACGGACTCACCAAAACCTGATGATTACCGAGAATCAACGGACGCAGTTGTATCCGGGCTCACCAATTTAGTGACTCAATGGTTACTGATATTCGTCAGAACCTGTCACCAATGTTTACTCACGTCCGTTTTGAATATTCGTCCCAAATGGAAACAGAACCAAAGATTGCGTTTATTGAAAACAATATATTCTGAGATCTTCAGAAAGGTTGGAGGTAGATTTAGCTAGGCCTAGGCTGATATTCAAGCAACGGCAGCGGAAACCTGAAAGTAGATCTGATCAATGCAACGAAAGCGTGCGATACAGAGCTCACCGTGGGGAATTGTGTCGGTGCACGCTTTTCGAGTTCATTAAAAGAACGCTAATAGTTGAAGTAAAACTTCATCCTAGAAATGTCCAAGTTGCTTTATCCAATAGAAGAACTTTCGTCAGAGTATAGCTATCGCCAACTAGTGGCGATGACTGCTAAATCTCGACGGTACACTTGATTGTGTCCGGTGGATAAGGGTCCTTAAAGGAAGAAGGGAAAACCTGACGGTATTTTAACTACCTGATCGATAGCTCAGTCGCTACTTGATTTCTGAACCTTAATGGTTCTGATAGGTACTCCATGGTTATGTATCATGCCTTGATAGTCCTCAATTATACAGGACTGGTTAGAAATTGAACGTATCCTGCTGTTAGTCACCAGCGTAGGGTGAAAGTACTTCTGGTACGTGATTTGATGATCACGTCCAGCTTGAATGGATCTATCAAGAAGCTTAGAGAAAACAAGAGGTAAGAAAAGAAAACTGCCGTTGCAAAACTGTCGGTTGAAGAACCGCTACAAACCCCCCACGTTATCCCGCTTATCCCGGTTAATACTCCTCACTCATCCTCGCTCACGGACACGCGTACACGCATGAAATGCTCACGTCTAATAATTCACTCGCCAACTTGATGAGATGAGATTTTATTTCTTATTCTTATTTCAGCAGTGCTGGCTGCCCACATTGTGAGAATACCATCGAAGGAGCTCTGGAAGCTCGATTGGCTGTGATCATATTCAGTCCTGTGCAACCTGACCTGACCTGACCGGACCGGACCGGACCAGACCTGACCTGGAAGGGCTACATTGTGGACAGGGTCCATCAAATTTCCTCAGGATATACGTTGAACTTTTTACTTGTCATGCCTGAGGACTCAAATGTCTTATACCTCAAACTGGCTGAAGCTCTCATACAGGATTATAGAAATTTGATCTCAGAAACCCGTCGAAAGTTCGCACCCATTAAAGATGTAGGTTATTTTTAGTCATGTTTTCATGTGAATATTAGGCAGCAGAGAAACAGGTTACATGGATCCGATCACAAATGAACACCAGTGATGATATGAAAAGAGGCAAGTGCCTTACACTTTCGATTTATTTGGTTTCAGCGTTCATTAGCAATAATAAATTGCTGCTGGAGCCGTTCTTGAACGGTTGTCTCACCAAGCAGCAGAAGATTGTCATCATTTCGCTCACTGCGATCCAGAAGCTAATCACCAATGCTTGTCTTTCTGAGGTTCGTTTTATTTTAATATTGAATTATTTCCAGGAAGGCGCTGGTGCTGTTGTTGGCATTTTATGGAACTTGATGAATTCCAACATCGAGGAGGTCCGTGTCCTACAGACCACGATATTGTTATTGACGGCATCATCCTTGGTTAAAGATACATTGCTAGCCAAGGTATGATCTTTATTTTTCAAAATTTCTTCGAATGATTTGACCGATCTACGGCTTGGCAACATTAAAAACCACCTTTTTGTACGACCAGAATAGATGTCAGTCAGTCAGTTAGTTTGCACAGGACAGGGGATGGTCACAGCCAGTCGAGCGTCCATAGTTCCTTTGGTAGTAAGCCACGTGTTGGCCCCTACCATTGTGAGTCTTCGATATGGCAGTTTTACACGTCCCAGTCGTCTCCGCCTCCTGAAGGGAAGAGAAAGGTAAAAATATCTCCCCTTGTTCAGGCGAGAAACCTCACATTTGGAAGCGTTCCCTTGTTGGGGTGGTTAGTAACTGAAAAAACCTACCACTGTTTCCATACCTTGTGAGACAGTTTCGTCTGATCCCTATGTATTACGACGAGACTGCACCTTGACGTTGTGTGATGGCCTGTATGCTTCAATGACCCAGCGAGCTACACAGGATGGCTTCTCACAGCCGTATATCCAGTCATGTCTGAAAGGTCAACGGGTAGAGGCCAGGCGAAGCTTAGTCTCACATAGCCAGCTGCTTGGGCACCTGGCTTCCTTCCTTCTATCCACACTCTCCTGAAGAGGCCACTCCAGCAAATAAACACGGTGAGGAGCAGTTTACTGGTAAAAAACCCTGCTAGATGGACGTAGGAGTGGGAATACCTGGGGCTTTCTCTCGACGGTGTGAGAAATCTTCGCACTTCATTGGACAGTTACCGTCCGATCAAGCTGGGCACCCCCTAGCCAATAAGGTGCTGTCCCGTCTACGTTCCGCTTGTCTCATTGGGCGCATGAGGCTAAGGGCTGATCCCGAAAAGCGGACCGATAATGAACGCACCAGCGAACAACAAAAATAATCGAAATTCAAGGGCCTTGCGTGACAGGTCTCCAGAAGCTCCGACATGAGTGCTTCGTTCACGCTCCCGCGTTGGATTTACGCCCCACTGCCTTCTGGGTCAGACTTTTGAGTCAAAGGCTCCGGTGAGGGCTACCGCGAAGTATGTCGTGCCCTAAAGTCTTAGGCACCCATCTGTCTAGTTCTTCTTAACCCCGAATAATCCCAGATGCCTCTTGTTTACGCCACCTATGGAATATCACTCAGCGTTTTACCATCAAGGCCAGACGATCAGAAGCTATAGGATTTTAAAGCCAAAATCCCCTTTTCACTTAGCCGCGTTCAACGTCCGAATGCTCCATCAGATTGGCCAACAACCTGCCCTGGTTAGAACCCTCGAAACTTTTAATGTGTCCCCGAAACACGCATTCAAGACCCCACTTCCATTATCTCTCTGCGTTCTCCTGAACCAACCTCAACCTCACGCTTCACCCTTCGTGTATCAGGCGATTCGGCATCCGAAGCTCGCGGTGTTGCTGGTGTCGGGATTGCGCTAAGTGCCAAGGCTGGGCGCTCGCTTCCTGACTGGATTCCAGTCAGTAGCCGATTGTGCGCTGTACGTCTCAACGGTTCAGTTCGAGTCAACAGCTACAGAATGAAGCATCGACACTTATTCGTCGTATCGGCGTATGCACCGACCGATTGCAGTATATTTAAAATCAAGGATGATTTCTACAAGGATCTTTCTCAACTACTCCAAAGTGCTCGATCAACGGACGTCGTAGTCGCCGGGGTCTTCAATGCTCAAGTGGGATCCCTGGACGAATCAGAAAGGCTTCTTGGCGGACCGCATGCACTCCCAGCCAACCGGACGGAGATAGCTTACTTCAACTCTGCACGGGCCACGGATTGTCCCTGTCAAACACGAACTTCTCGCACAAGAAACGCCATCGACTTACATGGAAACCGCCAACCTCTTCACTGCGCTAGACCCAAATCGACCACATCGCCATCAGTTACCGCTGGAGGGGATCAATTGAAGACTGCCACTCTTACTGGTCAACAGCTGTGGATACAGACCACGCCTTGTTACTAGCCAAATTCTCCCTACCCCTGGCAAACAACGGCAGAAAAGCCACTGACAACGGATACCCACGATACAGTGTCAGCGATTTGTGCAAATCGGCATTTGAAGCGGAGCTCTCCGATCGCCTGTCAGTTCACCCACCAGCTGAAGGACTCAATGAACACTGGAAGCAAATCAAGGAAGCTATGCAGATATCGATAAAAACAACGTCGGACCCTGGCGCAGGTTCAAAACTCAATCGATGGATCTCGTCGATCTCGGCTGCTCTGCTTTTTTTTAATACACACCTAGGCGTGATAAACAGCAGACGGGGTAAACCCCATAGTCACGAGGACCTGCTGTTCCGTGGTTGAAATCGGCAACCTAACCCCGGGACTTGGAGTGGTAAACCACATTAGGCTCCGCTAGGTTAGATGTGGTATTGAACCGGGCGACAGCAGAGCTGCCTACCACCAAAGTCGGGTAGCGGTGGCAGGGCTCGAACCTCGGACCATAGGGTCCAAAGCACGCATGTGACAGCGACTAAACCCCTGCACCACCCCCACCCTGGACGCCCACAGAACCCTGCCTCCGGATGCCACATATGACAGCGCTCAAATCCATTTAACGCCAGCTCATCAAGAGCCTGAGGAATGACCGCGAGAAGTGGTGGGTAGAAAAGAGATAGATAAAGCTGCAGCTTTTGGTAATAGTCGTAATCTTTTCCATCTACTTATGAATATGGGCCCTATGAAAATAGGCGTGAGGTAATTAAGGAATCTGATGACACTGATTCACGATCAGCAACGCCGTCTTGACCGTTGGGCTGAACATTTCAAGCCAGTTCAACTGGTCCCCATCGACACCTTATCTTTCACT